TCATCGGCTCTATCGGCCGGAAAATACAATAATGGATTTCAAAAAAGGAGAAAGGGGGAAGGGATTACAATTGATAAGAAACAAAATTCTAAATCTACTGGCCCTCCCTAGTGTCTTCTTCATCACCTTCCTCCTCGTCTGAATCAGTGGGGGGTCAGGCTCTCTCCCCACTTCACGATCAGCAGCCCGTTGCAAGTCCCATTGATATTTCTCATATTGGGCTTCAACGATGGGCGTCTGGGGAAGATCAGATAGCTCGACCGGCCTCCCTAGCATTTCTTGCAGTTTAGCAACAAAGGGGGTCATGATATGGTGGCAGCCCATGACATAAAGAGATCGGGTCAGTGAGTCATTGAATTTCTTGCCCCTTGGATCCTGATCGAGCAGTTTAACCCCCTCACTGTGGTGGGCATCACCCGTGGAGAATCGTTCGAGATAAGCACCAAAGGTGGCCGGAAGTTCCTGCTGCGCATAATCTTTCTTCAGGGCAGCAAACTCCTCAAACCCTTTGAATGCTTCCCGGACGGCGGACAGATCAACCTTCACCTCATCAAGGCCGTCCGGGATACGGGGAGCGCTCTCTTCGAACTTCACCAAAGCAGCTTCAGCAGCATGAACTTTGGCTTGGAAGGCCCCGAGCTGAACCCTGAGTTCAACAAGCTCTGACTCAAGGCGTCTCTTCTCCTCCGTGGAGGCCTTCCGTTCGGTCTCCAAAGCGGCAAAGGCAGCAGCCGCATTCTGCTCCGCAGAAGTCTGAGCGACGATCAGGTCCCGCTCTTTAGCGAGTCGAGCCTCTTTCAGTTGCAAACTGTAAAGCCCAACCTACATAATGTCGTTCGAGAAATGAGATGGTGTGAAACAGAATTTAAACTATGAGAAAACTATAGGGAAAAAGTAAAGTACCTTCAGGGCTGCTAAGGCCAAGCATTCCTCAGATTGCTCGACCGACAGCTTGGGAACAGTGAAATTGTTGAAAAAAGCGGAGGTAGACCAAATCTGACTTGCGGAGCATCCACCATTGTCTACAACTTCATGAACCGGATCCGCCAGTGAGATCCGGTCGACCTGGCCAGATAGATGGACGGTATGCATATCACCCATACCCTGACCAGTCTCCTGAGCAGCCTGGAAGTGCTCAGGGAATTGATGCATCTGATCATAACTGAACCGATCGTCGACCAGCATGGCATCAAATTGGTCCTGATGGACCTGTTGCAGTGGTTGTGGCTCTGGAACGGGTTGAGAAGATCCGGCATCCTGAGCGGTAATAGTGGAAGGAGTGGGTTGGGGGTTCTTCGTGGCTTTCTTCCGTTTGCCGACCCCACCAGCTGCAACAACTCTACTATTGTCCATAGGTGCGTCTGGATTGAGAGCTTAAAAATAACAAAGGAAAATGTTAGTACCGAGCGGACCTTAGCACGTGGGAAACAAAAAAGAAGAGAACGTTTCTCGCACGGGAAGGACCGCCCGGACCATGGCACTTGATTTCTAAAAACAAGTAAACCCAAGAGAACGGGCAGTACCTATCCCGGCTTCGATTAGCAGATCGGGAGTCAGGTAACTCATGATATCTACGCATTTGTCTTTCTCCACAACGAGCACATCCTTGTAAATTTCCTCAGTAAGGACTGGATCAGGAGATTTGCGGGGGAAGGCATTCCATTTGTGGGGAATCAGGCCGTCCGGGACAGACACAAAGAAGAACCGATCTTTCCACCCCTTGATTGAAGTCGGATTGCCCTTAAACAGGATATGTCCCGTTCGGGCACTAGTGGCCAAATAGCCGTGTGTTTGTTGAGGGGCTACCTTAAAAAATTGGTGAAATAAATCTAGGGTCGGCCGGGCACCGGCATCTTTACAATGGCAAATAAAGCCCGCCATTGCCCGGTAGGAGTTCGGCATGATTTGGGGCGGTAAAATTTCGTAGAAATTAAAAAATGAAACGAAAAAAGAATGTAGCGGAAACCTAAGCCCGGCCCTAATTGAATCAAAATGGACTACAACCATCCCAGGGGTATGGCGCATTAGGTGAAGCCCAACTCGCAATCGGAAGTTCACTGGATCTGGGATTAGGGCCGGAATTTCGGCCCTATTATGGGAAGTCAGTTTTTGCCGCCTCTCCCTAATCAATCTTAGGTCAAGCGTATGACGGGGGAAATCGTTGGGACGTCATCGGAATCTTCACTGGAGGAAGAAGAACTGCCGGAGGAATCATCCATCTCCGCCCTAATCTCCGTCGTCGCCACCTTGGAGCCCTCATCAAAAGGGACGGTGATAATCTCCACGTCACGGTCTTCCCCTTGGGAAGCCATTTCCGAATCGGAACACCGTTGAGAATTCATAACGATCGAACCAAAGGAGAGAAAGATTCAAAGGAATGAGAAGTACCTGGGCACGAAAAACTTGAAAGATTTGAGAAGAAAAGGCAGAGTAAAAGCACGAATAAGATTGAAAATTCGAAACCCAGATTTGAGAAGTTAAAGGCTAATTTATAGCCTTACAGACGCTGTATCAAAGACCAATCAAATAGAGACACGTCACTGAGATTATTTGAAATAATATGTGTCACATGGAAGAGCAAAGATCAACAATCATGATGAATATGGGGAAAGTAAAACGACAACCGTCAAATCACAGTATGGGGAACTGACCACTTCTGTACCCTGATCGCCATTCGACAATTGCAATATTGGTGTTTATACTTCCTAATACACTCACTGTCATTCGAGACATCGAAAGTGGGGGACTTGTGTTGGGATATTGACCCGGAGGCCCAATACCCGGATTAAAAAGGCCCAGAATATCCAGACCAAACAACGAGTCCACTACCCTATGATGAGTAGGCCCAGTGAAGAATCCATACCGAACGAGTTTCGGTCCAAGTAGAGGCCGACCCAGAAAGCAGAAATACCGAACGGAGTTCGGATCATACATCATACTTGGGCCAATTTGACAGCGTCTTCCGCATGGTCCAGCATCCCGTTCGAGCAACGGACAACCAGCAAGTGGCCAGGTGCATTTAATGCCAGATTGTGACATCAACAAGTGGAAGCATGGGTAATCAAGTCGGTGGAACAACGGCCAATCAGCATAGAACAGCCCATGCTCTCCATTAGTATAAATAGAAGGTTTAATATCATTGTAAGGGTTAGCATTTTGATACTCAAGCTCTAGAATAGCATTATTACTCTCGTTTCTTGTATTAAAGCACAGTTCCGACGTACCGATCGGGAAGTTTCCTTGTAATCAAATAGGTTAATTAATACAAGTGGGCTTTTGAGCATTCGTTGATTCATCTTTTATATTTTGTTATACACTTTGATTCTGATCCATTCCTGATATATCCAAAGTTCGTGTTGGACTTTCGGGTCTGCGGGACTTAACCTCAACAATCCTCTTTGGGGATAGTTGCAAGGGGTGGAGTAATATTAATTGCACTCTCTCTCTCTCTAGCTTTCACTTCTTTCTGAGAGTTAATACTCTATCAGTACTCTAAAGTTTCCTGTTGAATTTAATGAAGCGGGGGACTTTAATATTCTCCAATGGTGGAAGACCCACGAAGGGATGTTTCCGATTTTATAAAAAATGGCCAAATAAATGTTGACTGACTATCAAACGAGGTTGAGCGCTTCATCTCTTGAGAGTTGGGACACTCGTTTGCTTCCATGATTGGTTGAAAGCCCGGCGTAGAACACAAGAAATCAACATAGCACCGAACTGCCATTTCATGGAGGAAACGACGACCGACGCCAGAAGGGACTCCGAAGAATAGTTCATGTATTGTAAATTGTAATTTTCAACTTTAAACTATTTTCAATTGTAATTAAAAAACAAATATAGGACTAGACCGAACCAGGACTGGACCAGAACCGGTCAGGTAGACCGGACCAGAGCCGGGTCCGTTGAAACCCATGTCGGTTCCGGTCTTCACATTTAATGCCCGATACCGGCCGGGTAGACCGGACCGGAGCCGTTGAAACCCATGTCGGTTCCGGTCCAGGCATGGACCGGTTCCGGTTCAGGCCTGGGCCCGACCGGGCCTCGATTCAAGAAGGGGAGGCCCGGAACTGGCCCGGGTAACCCCCGGGTCCGGGCCGGGCCAGGCCTCGGGTATTTTTTTTTTTTTTTTTTCGGGGCTTTTCCTAGTTAACCCCCACCCCTCCCCCTCACCCCCAAACCAACCCTAACCACCTCAAATGGCCCAAAATACATAGCCCAACCCAAAAACTCAAAAAAAAATTCAAAAACAAAAAATTAAAATTGGCCCGGCCCAGGCCCGAACCGGCCGGGCCGGTTCACCTTTTGAAGGGCCCGAGCCCGAAACGAGAATCCACCGGGCCGGGTGGCCCGAACCGGCCAACCAACCGGTTCCCGGTCCGGTCCGGGCCCGCACAGTGGCAGGCTGGTCCGGTTCCGGGCCGGTTGGCCCGGCCCGAGTCCACCCCTATTCCGGTCTTCACATTTAATGCCCGGTATCGGCCGGTCTAGGACCAAAACCGAGACTGTCCGGGCCGGGACCGAGTCCACCCCTAGTTCAAAGGCAGGCTTGACCTTAACCAAATGTGGCTCACCAACTACACCGCCCTCACCTGATCACCTCTAAGCCTCTGACTTGGATGTGTCCCGTTAATCTTGGCAAAGAAATATGCATTAGCATAATGCAAAGAAATATGCATTACCTTCCAACCTAAGGTAATTGCATGATGAAGTAATCAAAGGTTGGCGACCTTTGATTACTTCATCATGCAATTACCTATATGACCCGGAAAAACAATACATCTCTTCGCTCTAGCCTTTGCCATCCGTTAGATGAGGTTAGTCAACATTAGGGAACATAGACTTATCGGCCTCAATTCATCTATGAGCTCGGAATGTAGAGTGCTCGTGTGGGACCAACTTAGACTACGCCTTTTGCTTGTACATTGGAATTTGGAAAGGCTTCAGTTTTGTTCAAAATGGGCTGCTTTCAGGGAAAATATCCAGACAAACAATTGCAGCAAAAAAATCCAGAGCAAGTATAAAGTGTAAAATGGGGGAAACTGACACCTTATGGACACGTTTAAATACCCATTTCAATGGCAGTTTGAATTTGGAGAGGATAAGAAACATGTGAGTATTAACATTACAGCCAGAATGAACAGGTAAGGCCATATAACACATCCATCACTTAAAATACAATTTACATGCATGAAAAAAGGAGCAAATATATTATATTTAGTTCAACAAAGTGACATTATAGGTTTGGAGCTGACCATTTCTTTGCAGACCTTTTAAGAACCTGTAATACATCTTTTTTGAAGTCACTGAGGTGAGGCATCAAACAATGATAAGTGTTGCAGTTAAATGGATAAAATTTCTCCCCTTCAATATCCAGGAATGGCTCTTACAGTTCTCAGTAAGTAGATTCATGACTAGGACTGTCTGCATGCATATCCATGGAGGAAGCATCATTAGAGTTGTAGCTACCAGTGTCCCTAGTTGTTTGTTGTTGGAAGTTGGGTTCAGCTGCTCCAACGTTTTTAATGCTGTTTGCAGGCTGAGCACTGCTTGTAAAATAGCTTCCCTGAGAAATCTGATAGTTTTGAAGGCTTCGGCGTACAGGGCTTGACAGAGCATTTGAGAAATCGTGATTCTTTGGCTGTTGATCAAGATGATCTGAACGAACACCATGTATTACCGCCGAAACAATATTTGAACCGGAAAAGGCTTGGACAACGGAACCTGGAAAAGCTGTTGGATAGGAACTGTTATGATTTTGGGGAGGAGGTGCCTGGTCCCCCTCTACATAGCAGTCCAGTTCATGCTGTCATCATAATACATAAATCCACAATAAGAATGTCATTAAACTATGAGAGATGGCAAACATCCTTTATTAAATAACATACTACCTCTGTCCCATTTTATGTGTCTCCTTTGCTTTTGGCACAATTTTTTATAAAGTGATTGAAAAAGTAAAAGTTGTGGTTGAGATTTGAGTATAGTGAAGTGAAATGTTGTGAACCACATATTTCATTCCAAAAAGGGAAAGGTGACACTTATTTTGGGACAACCCAAAAAGGAAAGTAAGACAAGTAAAATGGGACGGAGGGAGTAACTTATTATGAAAATTTTAATCTTCACCTTCAATTTTTCTAATCAATGTCTAACACTCATAAAGTGTCTTTTTTGTAATTGACCTAATATAGTTACAAAAATATCACCTTGTGGATATTAACAATGGATTATACAAAAAAATGTGGAGATAAGTTCTCATTCCAAAAGATATGGTTATGAATAGAGGTGTTCTCATAAGAAGACTCGTATATGTGTGCAAGCGCGTATCCAGGCATCGGATAGGCGGCAATTAAGCGTCCAGACAGTGAAAGTCTATATGGTTGCCTTGCCTGAAGAGAGGGTCAAACATTGAGTGGCACCACCTAGGCCTCTACAAGATATTTATAGCAAGTCCAAACGTGATTTTCTGCCAAATCCATTTGATCCAGCAACCCAACCCATTTTCTGAGAGGACTCTGGTAGAATAGCACTGATAATAATAATAATAATAATAATAATAATAATAATAAATAAGAAGAATAATAATAATATTAGAATAGTTAGTATAAATAGAGGGTGAGGGAGAACAGAAAGGAGGTTGGAATAGTTATTTGGGTCTGGGACTTTGGAGAGTAGGCACTCTTTAACTGCCTTTGTACCTTTCTCTCCCTCTTTTCTGTTATACGACAGCTTCCATTGTTACGCACATATTCCTTCTTTCATCTTACTTCTTGAAATCACTGTGAATTAGCTACGTACCTAACATTGGTATCAGAGAATCGTTCTTGCACCTGATCATGGCCATCAAAAGAGTGAAGAGTAAAGATTGGATATTGCTCATGGAGGAAATTGATTATGAAATGATGGAACGTTCGTCTATGTCAGAATTCTGCAAGCAAGGTATTACCATCATCGCAAACCGCTCTTCAATTTTCGCAGACTTCAATGCGTTCACAGAGCTCGTCGCTACTTGATTCTCTGAGTTTGCAAGTTCCGACTCAGGGGATAACAGTTGCTACCAGCTCGCCGCGGTTAAACGAGCATATCCAATGGTCATCGCCAGTCAATTCCCACCCTGCGCAAGACCTGTTTATTGATTCGCAGATGTCATCGCAAATTTTGTCCAAGGTTTCCGAGTCGGCTCAAGTTTCTACGCTGGGGATTCCACCATCGATAAGGAATACTGAGTTGAAGACGGCCGAATTTGTAATCAAGAAATCGAATCTGGAAGAAGAACTCGAGGAGCAAACTACAGTTATTGATGGACCTGAAGCGGACACAAATGCTTGTTTTCTGAAGTACGAGCCCATCAAGTCAGACTCGGGAACCAATATTTTCAAGATTCTTCAGGCATGTGATACTGCGGCTTGTGTGGCAAAGTCCACAATGACTTCTAGTTTCGTACAAGAAATGAACTGGCTTAATGTTTTAAAGTCTGAAATGGTGAACTTTCATTCATTAAACATTACTTTGGAAGGACTGAAGTCATTTAACAAGTTTGATAGTTTTAGAAGTGAGGGTGTTACTTCTATGATGGATAATCAAAAAGGGTTAGAAGGAGGATTTACTGGGAATATTGCAGAATATGAGGGGGTATGTTACTGGTGTTGAAGTTGACATGTATCAGATGTTTGTTAAGGGGTGTGTAGATATTGTTGAAAGTCAGGACCAGCTTTTGATTCTTGGGGTTGAAGGGTGCAAATGGGTACTTTCTGCAAATTGGGACTTCTTTGATTCCGGATTAAGATGGGATGATGAATTTGATCTTGGATACCTGATGTGTAGAATCAGTGTGGACTTGGACCCTGCTATTCAGACTGCTGCTAATGGACTAGAAGCTGAAGCAAATTTCCAACCTTACAAAATGGTCTTAGGTTCCAATAATCCAGAAGTGAATTGTTCCAGTAGTGTTCGTTTACTGGAAACTAAGCTAGCTGAAGATGTTGGAAAGATAGAAGTGGAACTATACTTGCCGGGAAAAATAGTTATGACTTCTTATTCCTCACTTGGGCTAATAATGTTGGATGCCTACCCAGTCAGGGAAGCAAAGAGGTTTCGGGAATCCTTCTCTAATTGGCTGTTTGGAAAACTGTTTACATGTGCATCAGGAATTCATTCCTCTGTTTCGGTGGTGGAAGATTGTTAGGGACCCGGTAGAATAAGAGTAAATAAGAAATGTAATAGATAGAGTAGTATAAATAGAAGGGGAGTGGGCAATAAAGAGGAGGCTGTTTTTAGACTTGTGTCTTGGGACTTGGGAAGACTGAGATTCTATCTCTTTCTTTTGGGGACTTCGGTCAATTGGGGGCTTCGGCCATAGTTTCTTGTTCTTAATCAATAAAGACTGCAGAGTTGTTCTTGATATCTTTATGTGATTTTATTGAATTTCTGGATATCTCTAACATTGGTATCAGAGCACGTCTATCTTGGGAAGATGGAAGGACGTGTGACGGATATAGAAAGAAATCTGAGAGAGACAGCAGCTAGGCAAGCTGATATGGCGAAGACGATGGTAGCTATGCAAGCTAGCATCGCGGAAATACAAAACAGACTTCAAAGTCGATCGATGAATCAATCGCACACTTCTGATACGTCGCATCAAGAACCGAAGCTTCGAAAGGAACATGGAGATCGATCGAGCAACACCAGGCATCATCGTCTCTGTGACAAGCAGAGTCCGTCGAAATCGCTCACTGAGTCGCAGAAGAAATCGCAGGAGCCGCTAACTGTTTCGCAATCTCAGGGCTCGCAATCGCGAACTACACGTCACTGTTCACAGTCGCGATACAGATCGCATGCGTCAAACGCATCGCATCGGGAGTCTCATCTTCATCATACGCGAAGGTCAGCGAGACCAGAGGACTCAGAAGAGCGGAGGCATCGCAGAAAATCTGGCGATCGAACTGTTTCTTCGCCAAGCTCTTCACATAGCTCTTCGCAGAGTTCTTCTCATCATTCTTATCAACGCTCTTCGCATCAGACTATCTCAACGGACATCAGTTCGCACTCTAGGAAGACACGATTGAGAGGAGAATCTTCTTCTTCACCAAATGATTCTCACAGTTTGCTATCTTCTTCTAAAGCAGTTTCTCCGAACTCAGCTAATTCAAAAACAGAGAAATTACCTCTATTTTACGAGGATGAAGCGTACAAATGGATAGAAAGGATGGAAAGATATTTCCGAGTCCAAGCTATTGCAGAAAGATTTAAAGTGGACATGGCAGCAAAGGCAATGGGGGATGCAGCAGATGGCTGGTTTCAATGGTGGGACTTTCACAAGAGAGAAGATAGTTGGGAGGCTTTAAAGGAAGATTTGATTAGGGATTTTCCACCTAGACACCGGCAGAAGACAGGGAAGACAGCAAAACCAGAGTCATCGAGGTCGCAAAGAATTTCTCGTTCACAAGTTTCTCAATCAGTGCTAGAAATTTACCAGTCCACAAAGAAGACCCAGATGGAACCAAATGAACCTGTAATCAAGTAAGTGAATGAGAAAGACAAAATCAAGGAGGAAAGACATGAGGAGGAGGTTGGGCTTGTTTCGGGAGAATCTGCTATCAGTTTTGGAAATCCCAAACAGATTCATGATGCTGACAAGTCTAGTTTCGTTCAGGAGATGAACTGGCTGAATCTTTTAAAATCTGAAATGATATATTGTCATCCATTAAACATTTCTTTGGAAGGGCTGAAACCATTGAACAAGTTTGATAGTTTCAGATATGAGGGTATTACTTCTATGATGGGTAATAAAAAGGGGTGGGAAGGAGAGATTTTTGGGAATGTTACAGAATTTGAGGGATATGTGACTGGTGTGGAAATCTTTAGTGAAGAGGTTAGGGGACTGCCAGTAGATTGTATACCTGTTCAAGATAGAAGTGTAGGTTTTGATTACAAGTTTCTTATGGCAAGTATTGATCCAAGACACAAAATACTCATGAAAAGAGGTATGAACTGGAAAGAGGACAATGTGTTGAGCACCATTGTTTTTTTGAAAGGGATGGGGAAGTATGTTGTTGATATTTTTGAATATCAGTTGTATCAAATCAGTATGGCCCGGGATCCTACTACTCGGGCTACTGTTAATAGATGGGAGGCTGTAGCAAATGGACAGGTGAAGCTGAAACAAGGCTTGAAAAGTGAATTGTTTTCTTCTAATGAAGAATCTGTCTACCTTCAAGAAAACCTACTTTGGAAGTTTTGCATGGATAATAGGCTTTCCTGTTCTTCAGTTGGGGGAAATGCAACTGGAATAGTGGATATCCTTACCTACCTGCTAAAACCTTTGAGGTTTTCCTTCTCAAATAAGTTGGCTACTGAAGATGCTGAAATTTCAAGGAGTGAAGCAACTGAAACTCAAAGATTTGAGTTATATCCTGTAGCAAGAGCTATTAGCACATGGAAGAATGAGAAAGGGATGGTGGGTAAAGATCAGTACCAGCATGATCAAAGACACGGGCCTAATATTGATGATTGGAAGAAAAAGGAGCTAATGTTGTTTTTGCGAGAAGCAGTGAGAAGGAAGATTCAAGTCAAGAAGTTAAGGATCCTGACATTTGAAAGATATTGGGAAGGAAGGGGTGCAAGGAAGAAGAAGAAGCAGAAGATCTGGGCTGTCTCTTACCGACCACCTTGAGGGCAAGGTGGATGTTTAGGGGGGGAGATATGTTAGGGACCCGGTAGAATAAGAGTAAATAAGAAATGTAATAGATAGAGTAGTATAAATAGAAGGGGAGTGGGCAATAAAGAGGAGGCTGTTTTTAGACTTGTGTCTTGGGACTTGGGAAGACTGAGATTCTATCTCTTTCTTTTGGGGACTTCGGTCAATTGGGGGCTTCGGCCATAGTTTCTTGCTCTTAATCAATTAAGACTGCAGAGTTGTTCTTGATATCTTTATGTGATTTTATTGAATTTCTGGATATCTCTAACAAAGATCTCAAGAAAAATACTTGGCTTAAGGCTGAATTGTTGGAAGCTAACAAGAGGAATGGGTTTCTCCTTGGAAATATATGGAGGTAGTCGATACTTATGCTATAGGCATTGATGATATAGAGCAGATTCACATGACTCACATTTCAGTTTGTAGAAATAATGTGAATAGCATGGAGAACGTTAGTACTATTTACAGCAATAACAGCTCTACACTCCGCCACTAATTCTTTGCGTGTTGTTGTTGGTAAAGACACTTGCCAATTTTACTGTTACAGGCTTAGCTCTGGCTCTGAGAAAACTACATTTCACTTGATCAATGATCCCAACACTGAAGTTTCCTTTGTCCCAAGTGGTGATGGATATCAATGTGCAACTCTTTCTTCGCTTGTCAATTCCCCAGTATACATCCGGCAGTACATGGCATCAGGATCCAAATTGGTTGTGGGGTTTGTAAATTGCCAGGCATCTTTGGGTGTTCATCAAAATGCCGAAAAATGGGACGGTGAAACCTCATATGAAAGTGGGGAAGAACTTGCTTTGTGCTTAACAAGAGATGGACACATTATTTTAATAAATATCAGCACTGGCAGTATAATCAATTCGCAGCCAGTACATCTTGAGAAGGGAATTGAAAGGAAAGATCTAACAGCACATTTTGGTCATGAGGAACAAAACAATTACAAAGATCCCAACAATCAGTGTGTTCTCCAGGCAATGAAGTCCATGGTCCCGCAATCAGTTAGGTACTGGGAAGGGAGAGGCACCAGGATGAAGATAAAGTTAAAGATCAGGACGATTTCCTATCACCCACCTTGAGGACAAGGTGGTTGTTCAAGGGGGGAGATATGATAGGACTCCGGTAGAATAGCACTGATAATAATAATAATAATAATAATAATAATAAAAAATAAGAATAATAATAATATTAGAATAGTTAGTATAAATAGAAGGTGAGGGAGAATAGAAAGGAGGTTGGAATAGTTATTTGGGCCTGGGACTTTGGAGAGTAGGCACTCTTTAACTGCCTTTGTACTTTTCTCTCCCTCTTTTCTGTTATACGACAGCTTCCATTGTTACGCACATATTCCTTCTTTCATCTTACTTCTTGAAATCACTGTGAATTAGCTACGTACCTAACATTCTCTCATATTTAATCGCATAATTAGATTTGAAAAAGAAAAACCCAAACGGGTAAAGAGGAAAAAACAAAAGGTAAACCGATGTACGCCACACTTGCCTTTTCTTCAGATTTATCTTTTCTTCAATTTCATATTTTATCCATCTCTATAGCTAACTTTTTTTTATGATTTTCTTCGTTTTTTATATAGCAATCACATGAGTCAGATCGCTACTTTTTGCTGAAAGTCTTGCAGTTTAAATGATTGGAAATAGATATTAAAATCTTGATTTGAACTGATATGATCAATTAGTACTTCATGTACTATTTTTAATATTATGTTTATAACATGATGTAAACTCATATATTGCATACGGATACTTGTGTCCAAGGCAACAAGGCGGCTCGCTAACGCCATTCCTTGCATGGCTGCCATACACACGCGTAAATGTGAGTTCTTCGACCAACATGTATTGTTAACTAATATAAAAACCAAATCAGTTGACTAGCCCAGTGCAAAAGCATTCATATAAAAAGATACCTGAAGGTAGTTTAGTATGTCAACCATCATCACTCTTGATCCTCCATCTTGTTGCCTCAAGATCCACTGATATAACTTTTCCTGTTACATATATTAAAACAACAGTAAAAGAGGTAAAACTCACTGGGTGCTATCTTCTTTACACTACAAAATGATAATTGTCAAATTCATTATATCAAACAGATAACATATTGAGATGGCTGATTGGCAATACAAACAGCGCCTGACCTGATTGAAACCTACATTTTTCTTTAGTTAGATATTCTTTGCATTTGTGAAAGGCTCAAAGGTAGTCAAAGCCGTGAGGCGCACATAAGGCGCTAGAGTAGTCATATCGCTTGAAGCGCAATGCGCAAAAAAGCGCTCGCCTGACTCATGTCAAGTGCACTGCTTGGAAATTATTTATACTATTCTAGAATTACCAGATATGATATATTCAATATCATATTGAACTAAATGCATTAAAAAAGTCATACTCATCATTAAAACTATAACCTAAATTAAGCTATATTCTAGCTCAATTCTCAAGTTACAACTCTCAAGAATCATTCATCATTGAAAGAAGAGACCATATTCTATTAGCAGTATTACTTTCAGCTTTCGTGGCAGCAATTGAAGTTTCACCCTCCATATAAACATATAAATAAAACTAGAGAGAAAGGAATACAAGTTCTTGAAATATAAAACATGTTAGAAAAAGAGAACTTGTTAGGAGAAAATATAAAACAGAAGAAGAAAATGGCAAAAAAAATGAAATAAAGATATCGAACTTTAAATGAAAAGATAGAAATAATGCAAGAAGAAATAGACCATACAGTAAGAAAAAATATAGAAAATAAGAAAGGAACGAAGAATTGAATAGAACAAGAAGGAAACAGAAAGAAGAAACATAATGAGTCGAATGCAGTAGAGAACTTCGTATTATTATAGTTTCGGTATACTCTTTAATACACTGATTGAGAAGGGTTTATGTTGTTTTACTGTATTATTTGGATGGGCTAACTCTTATTATAAATATGGTTTTATTTAAAATAGGACCTAATCTTATATGCAAAAAAAGATTTATAAGTTGAGAAGCCTTTCCCAGCCTAGGCATGCGCTTATGTGACTCTGCGCTTCTTGCGCTTTATTTGCGCGGCATTGCGCCTGAGGCGTATCATTGTGTCTCGAGAATACGGCACCACCCATCTTCAGTGCCTCGCCTGGTGCGCTTAAGTGCTCGCCTCTACACTGGAAAGGATGAAAGGTTACAGTTCTGGGTTATGAAAATATAGTAGGCTTTTGAACAATTCAGTACTTGAAGTACACTAAAATGAGGGCACTAATTACGGATTAAGAACAGGATGTTGTTGTTCTAGTTGTTTGTAAACTAAAGTAGCACTTGGCCAAAAAGTAAATGAGGACAAATAATGAGCAACCGGCAATCTGTGCAAAGCTAGTTCAAGAACAACAATAATAATGCTAGTGAGCAATATCTAAGGCAGAAATTATCACTGGAGTCGTCACATAAAGGGAGAGAATGACGAAATAACGGGAGTTTTAGGTTTGACAAGCAAAAATACAGGATATCAAATTAGGGTACGAAATAGCGGGAGTCGGAACCACGGATTCCGACTGAAACAAGAAGCGTGGAAAGATAATGCAAAATTGTATTCGGAATTAGCAATTCCAACTGAAGTACCTTTTTATTAAAAGATAGTTGGAAAAGAGAGTTCCGACTGTGTGGCTAAAAAAATTGTAAAATAATTAGTGGGTGGAGAATAAATAATTCCAAAACAATTGCTACACAATAATTTTAGTTGTAAAGTAGAACAACGCATTTTAATAAAACTGACAATAAATTTGAATAATATTTTTTTATCTGTTTTTTCACGACAACCAAAAAATATTTCTTACTCTCCTAATATATTTATAATATGTACTACTTAGAAATGTCTAGCGATAGTAGTATTCTTCTTCTCGGTCATTGGACTGCCTCTATTTTTCAAAAAAAAAATCGAAATTGAGTATTACATACCTTCTAGGGCGGCACTATTCATTGACAAAGTAGATGATTTCACCAATGTACACCAGCGTGTTCTCGAACATGTTAGACGAGGGAGGTTTCCCAAAATTCAATTAAATTATGGAGAATTACCAAAATTTAAAAATTCGGTGAATGTTGTTTCTAGATTATAAATGCATCATCTTCCTTCATAATTTAGACCAGTTTTCTTAGATTCAGTATTACTAGTTTATTTCTCTGCGAAGAGATTTCCTAGTCTTTCCTTGTACATGGATCGACGCGGGCAGCCGCCAGCCGATAGAAGATCCTGATGAGGCTGGTAGTGAGACACCAAAGGCTTCAAGGTAGTAAGAAGAATTGCAAATATTCATGGAAGCTATAAATAATGCTTAGCCCCACCACAAAATTTGACGTTCAACGAAGCTCCTATAAATAATACTGCAACGTTTCAAAATGAAATGGTTTAATAAACCATGTCGTAGATCTTCTCCAACTGGTAGGCCGCAAGGAACAAGATTTCCAAATGAAATGGATTTACGTCACAAAAGGTGAGGGCAAGAGTAGTTCAACATATTAATAATGTAATTTTATTTTTGACGTTCTAATAATAGTCATTTTTTAATAATGTATGTTTTGATTTTACACAGTAAATTGCATAAAATTTAATCAGATAAAATATAATCAGATAAAATTTATCTGATTTAATTAACTACCCAATTATCTCTTATAAAAAATCAAAGTACATAATCTTTTTAAAATATAAATGCAAGTACATTTAAAAAATCCACTTCGGTGGTACATTTCAAAATAAAAGTAAAAAACAGATTGTATTAAAAATGTGGGTATAGTATTAGGTGTATTACAAATATAAATAAAAATCAAATAATCCTCAGTTGGAAACACACAATCCCACTAGTACCTTTCGGAATAAAAATTAAAACACACTACATTCGGAATTGTGGGTTCCGACTACAACTAAATCATAAGAAAATTGTATTCGGAATTGAAAAATCTGACTAAGTTTTGTTTTTTGGATTTTTCGGGTAAACCCTAATACAGTGGGAATGGAGTATTCCGAATCCCGTGATTCGAGAAAACCTAGAATTATTCCCGTGTTTTGGCAATGGATGTAAGTAACTCTCGTGTTTTAAGAAAAGACCCCACATAAAGGTATATGCAATTTCATATGGTGGCGGACAAAGAAAAAACTAGGAATTAAGGTATCATCATCATCATTACCCCAGCACTGCAAAGGCTCCCACCTACGGTGGGGTAAAGGGGGTCGGATGTACGAAGTCTTACCCCTGTACTAAAGCACATGGAGACTGTTTTTCGGATGAGGATGACCCATAGTGAACATCGTGTCCAAAATTGCATGGACTGACCGCTACTTCATAACAGTTTAGCATAGTTGTTACGGCGGGGTTTCGCGGCGCGGCGTCTCCGGACTGCCATACCGCCATGGCGATATGGCACCCATCGTGGCGGCATCGTGGCAGTAAGTCGAGATAGGTGCACTAATAAATTCATAATATGTTTTATATACTAATAAAATGCCTACATGTAACACTTATAGCCAACACTACTAATGAAGTAGTAAAACATGTAATCATAGAAATAACATAATCCATAAGACCATGACCATAGGTTTGTAGTTCATCAAAAAAATCACAAACATTATCCATAATCCAACAAAGTAAAGAAATACAAAACAATAAAATATTAAATAGAAATAATATTAAGCAATTAATTAATACAGGCTACTGGACAACCGAAGTTGATTAATTACTGTTCATCTTCTTCAATAAAGATTACTTTGTTCATTGATATTAATTTCTGTTTCTGGATAATTGGAGAGTTCTATCAGTGGTATCAGAGCGACGTCGATCGCTGGATGAGACACACTCGCGCGAAGATGGAAGGAAGAGTCAATGAGGTTGAGAGAAAGTTGACTGACTTCGGAAGAGATCATCGGGAACTGCGGACTAGTGTGGAGAATATAGCCGCAAATGTAGCAGCAATGCAAGCTAGCATCGCAGATTTGCAGAACCGACTTCAAAGTCGTTCGCGACATACATCGCACCATTCGCATCGATCTTCGCATCGCTCATCCCACCATAACTCTTCCCATCGCTCATCGTATAGCTCTTCTCCTCGTACTTCGCATCATCAGTCGCGAAGGTCATCCAATCCAGAGCAATCGGAAGAGAATTTTGACTACTGTCATAAGCATCGCAAATCTCATCATCGACATACGCGACTTTCGACTGACTCAGAGGAGTTGGAAGAGAGAGGCGTCACAGAAGAACTGGAGAACGATCGAGGAAAACTAGGTCTTTTCTGCTACCTGACAAACAAGGTTCGTCGCATCACTCTTATCGTCGCTCTCTGATAAATGACGAAGTAAGCTCGTCACCACCGCTCCCAAGATCGCAAACAGAGTCGCGCAAGGATTTTCTTAGTTCGCAATCGGGAACTTCTTCATTCAGTTCGCAGGAATCATCGCCTAGCAAGCTGCGAACAACAACAACAGATTTCAATCCGCAGGCGTTCCCAATCGGGATGAATTCACATAATAGGGCAACGCGATCAAGAGAGGAATATTCATGTTCGTCAGTGCTTTTGTTAAACGTTTCTCAACCTGAGCTAGATTATCACCAGTCGACCAAGAAAACCCAATTGAAGTCCTCGGAATTAATAATCAAGGAATTACCGGAAGAGGAAAAGAATGAGCAATATTCTGTAACAGGGGGAACTGAAGCAGGCTCTTCATCATTGGCAAGAAACAATGAGTTGAAGTTGTCATAATTGAAAGAGCTGGAGGAGGAAGTCACTAACGCAGATAAGTCAACAATTTTTACAATTTTATGCACTCAAAAGATCAATTTGAGCTCAAAAGATCAAGACCAACCTTGGCCCAAGGTTAACTCATTCACCTTAACATCCCAAGCATGCATTACACGGTTATACCTACGTTAGAGCTTTTAGTAACAGGTTGATGGCTAATGAGAGGATTGAGTATATGGATATAGATCATAAATGTTTGCTGTGTAGCATAGATGTAGAGACTGTTGACCATATGTTCTTCAATTGCATTGTACTGGGACTGTATTCGGAGAATCTGGGAAGAAATTAAGATCTGGCTTCACATCGACAAAGAATTAAGTGGTTTTTGAATATTTTAAGGGAACAAGGGGCATTTCCCTAACAACTTGCAAATTTTCAGTTTGAATTAAACATCACAACGGACAGACAGAGATAAAAGTGATAGTGTGATACTGGAGCTGAGCAGATAATATATGTTGAACTGGGTTAACGTCAACATGGTGAGGCCAACATTCCATTTAGCCCCACTAAACTTGTGGTGTTAGATTTACATGTTTATCCCCAAAAAGTAAAGCTTAGAAACAACACACACACACACATAAAAAAAACTAGAAAAGTTTAAAGTCTAAAGATGAGCATCCCTTCAATTTATAGAATATCTTTAACCAAAAAAACATAAAAACAACAAAAAGATGGAGTCCAGGTAACATTTTTCACAATTGCAAGAAAGGAGTATGGAATGAATACTCGAAAGCTATTCAAAATCTTGCTAAACAAACCACCTACAGATACGAAATAGTTCGTCATGCAAATACAAATTATTAGAAAGATTGAAATTCACCAGAAAGTCATGCTTATAAATGGAGAAACAGATGCACTGAATTTCAAAATATAGATGCCCGACTAATTGCAAAAGCTGAATAACTGAGCACCTTTTAGATAACAGAAGAGGTTGGTTTATAGAAATAATAACAAAATCATACCAAACCAAAAAAGAATTTAAACCTAATTTTTAATTCGACCTTAGTGAATGAGCACACACATTACAACAGGAAATCACCCATAAATAGAATCATAAATGTATAGACAAGTTTTGAAATGAATAAATAAATTTATAGACAAAGGATTCACCAGTCCGTGACGTTCACCCGCTTGGAAGGATAGCTTTTGCTGGTTCATCGCCTGAGTATACATCTGCGAGAGGGAGTTCGCGGCGCTGCTGAACGAAGAGTACATGGTTCGGTCCACCTCGTCTAAGCTCGTGGCAAGCGACTTTCGTTTCTTTGTCATCGATAGTCAATCTATTTAGCGTCAAATAAATGCTACGTCAATTATTACTGATATATGTCGGTCGGTCGGTCGGTCGGTCGGTCGATAGATCTCAGGTGTAGGAATCCGAACTGGATGAGCTCCGGCTGGTGAGGAAGATCAAGGTAAGAATCGCTCAGCGGAAGGCTGGAAGGGGGACGAACGAGAAAGGATTGTGAAAAAATGGCCTGAGAGATCGATGAAAAGACTCCAGTAAACCTTTCCCCAAAACCACCATTGGCGTTTTTACCAACAAACTAGTAGAACACCCGTGAATCCTTGATGCACGGGTTAGCGAAAATAATGGGTGTTGCTTTGCACACCCCCATTTTTACTTTAGGTAACCCTACAATGACTTTATTGACCTTAGTAGTTGATAAATTCAAATTAATTAAAATTGATGCTTAGTAGTTAATACAAGTTCTCCAAGATCACACATTCACACGGCCTGCCATATACGGTGTACTATACGGAGGAATATACGGAATACTATACTATATCAATTTTAAATTCTTTCTCCATCCAATAATTTGCTTCCATGTGGTAAATTATTCTTTTTTTTATAAAATGTTATAACTCTTTCAATTGTACTTCAAATTTTATAAAAATTATATCAAATTAAATAACTTTTTATGATCTACGATATGACATCCATATTACGTTAAAATTTTAGATACGTTAAATATTTGATTAGATACGTTAAAGTTTGGTCTGTTGAATGGCCGATAAATGTGTATTTATGGTATGTTTGGAAAAACTAACCGAAAAAATACTCTTATGAGTGTTTTGGTAACTATTAGTGGCTTATAAAATCTTTTAGTGGCCGATAATAGCTTTTAGTGGCTTATAAAATCTTAAAAGAAAAAGTTAATAGCAATTTGATAAAAAGTTGACTGTTTGATTTAGTTATGTTTGGTATATAAGCTGTTGGGACTGGTTGATGCTAAAAGTTACAGACTTATCCGAGATGTTACTCATTCGAGCATCTCAAAAAAATCTTTTATTTTTATAAAAGCTCTTAAAAATTAGCATGCCAAACATACAACTAGAAGTTTTTAAAGACTTTTTAAATAGTACAAAGGCTAGAAGGCAGAGAATTATGCGTGCAGGGGGCGTAGCCAAGAGTAAGAGTTGGATTCGGTCGGTACAAAGAATTTTTACAGATAAGTTTTTACACATAAATGCGTACCGGCCCGGTTTTATCTTTGATTTTTCAATTCAATGGTGATAATTTGTTACCAATAATTTTCATTAGTATAATTTTATGAAAATTATAAATTTTATAATTTTATGAAAGTATTTTCGAAAGAAGTATTTTCGTATAATTTTTATGTTATAAATCATTTTCTAATCGTATATATCATGTAGTCTGGTTTGGTCGGGGATCATATAGAGTCAAATTAAAAAACATCCTAAAAAGTGTAAATTATAGTTACTTTGTATTATCGTGACTGATAATAGAATAAAGACAATATCCAATACAAAGATGAATGAAAAGTATATTTATATAAGAAGATTGTAAAAAAATCATATGAGTATTAATTATACCGTATTACAAATATTTATATATTTGGTGGTAGTTGAAATTTGTAATCTATTTTTTTTGGCAATTCTTTCTAACCTATTATAATATATGTTCTATGTTAAGACTAACATCATTGAACGTGGATGAGATTCGAACATGTGATCTCTTCCTTCGAAGTGCCACATTGATGTTATCAGATTACAGTGTACTTGACTGAAATTTGTAATCTATTGAATTGTGAGTATATTTTAAAGGTATTTATTTTTTAGGAATAAAGTAAACAAAATTTTAGGAAATCTAATCTAATGAAGTAATGCCAATGAATGTATTACTTTTTAAATTAATACGGAGTAAAATCTTAGCATTGAACTTTGATGAAAGAGTACAAAGCTACTCCGTATTACAATTACTGCGCTAGGCGCTAGCTACGTAAATTCGTAAGGCAAGAGGGCAAACTTGTCCAATAGTAGAAAAAGAATGGTGCGCATAGTAAATTTGAAGGTGCGCAAAGAGAATTAGCTTAGTCAAATTTGGCAAATGGCTTATCAATCAACTTATTTGATCAACTTTTAGCTTGTTTGATCAAATTTAGTTGTTTCATTAGTCAAAGCACTCAATATTTATGTTTGGTAAATAGTTTTTTAGATTGGCTTGTTGAGTCTGAAAAGGTGAAAAATGTTTGGTAAGAAAAGCCAAGGAGGACAGCTTTTTAGATTGGTTTCTTTCATTCTTTTGGATTGGTTACACTTTATCAGCCATTTTGAAAGTGTCAATTTTATCAAACAGTTATTTATAGTCAGCTAACATAATCAGTCGGTCAAAACAGCTAACACAACCAGCTATTAGGAAACAGCTGACAGCAACAGCCAACAGCCATTTGCCAAACAAGGCCACTGGTATATAAAAAGAAAGAAACAATAACACTAATATTACTCCGCAACTTTCATTAGACAAAAATATGCTCATTTTATAATTCGATGCAAACTTCAGTTTCTTGATCCAATCGGCGGCAACTGTAATGTCACTGGTGTTGTCGAAATACCTACACCCCAAGGCCCTAGCCTCTTTGAGGTACTTGGAGATCCTCACGCAGAAATCTCCTTCACGTCCATCGTGGGACGTCCCTAAAGTGGCCCTTGAAGCTCCCCGGCTCTCTTGACCCGAGCTCCCTTGAGAGGCACGTCTAGCTTGGCGTCTAAGATCTCTTCTTAGTTTCTCCTTTTGGTACCACTCAGTACCGCACCCATTTGAGCAAAACTGGCATCGCTCTCATCATTATCCTCCTCATCAGTGTGAAAGTCTCCCCCGTCATACGGGGTCTCCTCATATTCCGTCTCAGGAACATAGGTTGAGTCGTAGTTCTCGGTGTTAGTTTCATACACCGAACTCACATGGCCATCGCTTACTGTTAGGGCTTGGTGGCCCCCACGGCCTCCACGACCTCTCTTCTTCCCCTAGAACCACAGGATGTGGCTCAGCTAGCCCCTACGGAGGCTCCTGCAGCAAGTCCCCTAGGGTTGTTCCTCGTTGGCATGCGTCTACCCTCCATTTCTACAAAGGAATTCGAACGAGTCGTTAGACTCCATCAATGACAACTGATGGAAAACGTTATAGACACATATTGGCCCAAGTCACTGTCATACCAATTGTTAAGGGTACCATCTTAACAACTAGAGATCTTGCAACCTAGGTAACAATAGTTCTATAAACGCCAAAATACAATGCTCATGGTTTTCGGTAAAACTCTTTTTGTAAAAGCTCTTGTGAGAGGTTGATTACATAGTTTAGAACTGAGATGACTTTGATACCACTTAATTGTCACGTCCCATACCGCATCTAAGCGCGTGTACAACCGTCGTATGACCAAGTGACGTCACTCGCAAGTTCATGTGACTTAATCATACAACGCGTCCATGAACATAATTCATCCATACTCGGTAGTAAACATACATAACAACTTCACATTTAAACCAATGAATAGCGGAAATATTCAACGGTACAGCGTGGGTCACAACTGGCCAAAACATGGGCTCACAGGCCCAAAATAGTTTATAGTAAATTAAACATCCATGAGCAAGTGTTTGGTAGTTTGAAAGGAAATAAGGAAGCACGAACCCCGTCTTCCTTAAGTTGACTTCACCCGTAAGAAGGTGCAGATAGCGAGCCCTAGCTTCAACCTGAAAATGGTGGGGGGCGAAGGGGCCAGTTAGAGCAATAATGTTGATTACTAAGAAATGGTTGAACGGGGGTTCCGGACCAGTTGCTAATACATGAGATAGAGAGTGGTGTTTTATAGGGGTGGGTGCGGTCCGGTCCAATATTTTGCCGAACCCGTACCCGTACCGTGACTATTGAAACGGTTGGATTCGGTCTTAGACCTAAACCCATTCGGTACGGTCCATTTTCAAACGGGACGGTACCATGCATGCCATACCACTACCAAATAATGCCACTTTTTCCAAGTGTTTAAGAAAAAAATAAAATTTAGTCATCCTTCAAAATTGATGGTCCCTGATAGAGGTAAAAGTCTAGGGGGGTGAATAGATTTTTAAAGTTTTTTCAACTTTAAAAACTTTTCCGTGCTAGATAGGATGATCGACAATCTTATGGGAGATTGTAGATGCACAGTGGAAGTCTTGACCTTTAAATAGACAATGTACAATAACTTTTTGTGTTTGAGTGGTGTTTGGACGTATTTGAGTGAGCAGTTGACTAGGCAGTTAAGTGGACAGCAGGGAACTGCTGAGTCAACTGCTTAAAGAAAGATGAAGGTATGATAAAGCTTATTATAGAATCTTACTCATAATGATTAGAGCTTTCTGGAAATGTGCTGAGCTGTGTTGAAAGTGGAAGTTTATGACAGGAGTGGTCTGAGCAGTTGGGTGGTCACCAGGGAACTGCTGAGGCACCTGCTGAGTTACAGGCTGATTCTCAGAAATCTGTTTGAACAAACTTCTGTGTAATGATGTTATGAGGATCTTGTGATGTTGAGATGTTCAAAAGAAAGTATGTATGTGAGCAGTTGGCTGAGCAGTGGGGAAATGTAAGGCAACTGCTTGGGTTACTGGTGGCAGCTTTCTTTCTTACTCTAAGTGTTTGGTGTGTGCTTTGTTGACTGTAAGTAAATCAACACACTGTATATCCTGGTTCAGAGGTGGTGTAATCCTCTTACGTCCAGTCTCACCCTCTTTCAGATGGATTTCCATTAACGTATTAAGCCCAATACACTTAGTGCCAATCTAGCCTTTACAACAAACTGGCCTAGATTGGAGGTGTTTCGCTTTGGAGTACACACCACTCCAAGTTACTCAATCCTTAGAATTTTCTCAATTGATCCAGTGAGGATCAAAAGGTACTCTATCTATCTATCCACACTTAGGACTTGATAACAAAATCCTTCCAAGTGTTTACAACTGTTTTTGTGATGTTTACAAGAAAATTGGTCTCCAACTAAGAACTAAAGTTTCAGAATATAGCAATGAAGAATTCTAACTTGGAAATTTAGTGAAGCATGAGTCTAAGCAGAGAGCAAAGTTAAACAGACACTTTCTCTTTTGCTAGATATCTCTTTGAATGCTTAGTAAGATTTTCTCTACTTAGAGGACTCAAAAACTTACTTAAAACTCATGCTTCAGCGTATATTTACAGGCTTCTCTAGTTTGATTGATCCCATCCGTTGGTTAAGATGAGTCAATCTCTGGCGTTGAACGTGTTTGACCTTTGTTTTCTTGTGTTGGAGCAGATATTGGGGATTTCCCTTGTCTTCACCGATGAGCAGCTGAAACATCCTTTCAGGATCATTCTGATGATTTTATTGTGTGTGTCCCATGCTCTGGTCCCTTGTACAATTTTAGCATTAAATGCATGTCAAATTTTGTCTTCAATCATACACATGCAGTGTATATGATATTCGTACCTATGTGACCTTATTTTTGTGATAAGATTAATTTTTGTGTCAAATAAATATATACTCGTAGGATTTAAATATCCTACTAAGGTAAATAAAAATTACCTTATTGCATTTTAACATCCCAGTATAATTTATTAGTAACAAAAATTGTACATTTTATTTTTATCACTTAATAGTCTTGTGGGTCATGCGTCTCTTTTTTCCTGGGCCAGAGCATCTGCCTATGCTATACATCCTTTGATTAATTTTGGACGCTTTTACTTAAAACAAATGAGACACGATGTACAAGAGCAAAGTATAGTGGCATCATCAAAATCTATCAAAAGTGGGTACTAACAAAAATTTCACACAGTTTATCAATTTTCATATTTCATGCTACCTCCGTCCCAAATTGATTTGTAAAGTCAACCTTTTTTTATGAAACCATTCTTTTTTATTCACTTAATTAGGATATCACTTTTTAATTGCATTCTAATTTGGCCTTTCAAAAACAAGCACTTCGTATACTCTAATTTGGATTTTGCATCTTTAAAAGGATTTTAATGTGGTTTCTAAATATGTAAGTTTTAATTATTAAAAATTATATTAATTATCATTAAGGAGGACTTAACATTAACATTGATTGATCAGAAAATATTGACTCTGCAAATCAATTTCGAACGGATGAGGTACTTAATAAATTTCAGATAAATTATAGTAGTACAAATTTAAATAATTAAATCATACTTCGGTCCGGTCCGGTATCGGTTCTCATTTTATGAGAACCCGTAATGGCATTGTTTCGAACCGGTACGGTCCGTTACAAACCTCGTGTGTTGGTCCGGTAGCATACCGGTCCGGTTTGGTACCATGTTGGTTCTGTATTTTTGCCCACCCCTAGTATTTTACTAGTGATTATCAAAATGTTTACCCTTTACAATTGAATAAATGCTACTATTTATACTAGAAATGGGTATGTTGGATGGATGATGTGGCCAACCATGAGTGGATGACCTCTCTACCACTTGAGCACTCATACTTCCACTTGAGCACCCATTAAATGCGCTCATTGCCACTTACAAGGCTTCCCGGTCAGCTTCTTGGGCTAATCTAATCAGCAGCCGTGAATGATGCTTTTTATTGTAAAGTATTATATTCAACCCGTTCGGGAGTCAAATGTTTTGTTCGATATTTGTTAGGCTATGCTACTTCTTTGGGCTTCAGGGATATTATGGGTCGGGTTACTGGGACGGACCCTATTATCCTAACACAAGTCCCCCTTTCAATGTTCCGAGCGTGCGTGGGACATAAAGAAGTAGAAAAGTCACTCCCCTGTCGTTCGGTATACTTCGTTCGGGGGTAAATTTTGTAGGTTCCCGATGTAACGGTTTGGCAGTTTTTTGCGGTTGTTGGTTGATTTCCCTAGGCAAACTCAGGATTACCTAATGTTCCATCTCTACTTGACATGTGTCCCTAGAAATGCTCCCTGCTACGTGTCCTTTTTCGATTGGTCTATGAAACGACGCCTAAGTCTATAAATAGAGGCCTTGGGTTATGAGTTCCGGGTTTCCAAACTTTGCTTCTCTCTCTAGCTTGCTCTGGCTTCTCTCTAATAAACCCTAATTCAAGTTTGTTCAGGTAATTTTTGGGCCTCTTTCTTCTCCAAATCTAATTTCTTGTTCGGCAAAATGTTAGAGGATTCGTCTTCTAGTTCTTCTGGTTCATTCAGTTCGGATATGACCGTCGAGGAGACGATTCGGGGAACAATAGTAGATACCGCCGTCAATTCCACGGTGGGCACTAGTGCCACCGCTAAGATTTTGGCCGATGCCGCTCGTTCTGAAGAAGGCTCTGCTGATGAGGCTAAGTTTGGTGATGACATGGCTGTTGTTAGGGCTGGCCCCCCAGGCGACGTCCCCCGTGAAAAATTAAAATTGAAATCTATCAGGAAACGGAGGCAAAAGCACTCCCAAAAAATTAGGGCCCGTATTCCTAATCATATCCGAGACCCGGTTGATTTCCTCCTTCACGCTGGGTTCCATCCATTGTGCCACAGTCTGGGTATGGTGGTGGTGCATTACGACTCCATCCTGGCCGGACTGAGATTCCCGCTACACCCCTTCTTATTTGAGTTCTTCAACCACTACAAGTTGGTTCCGGCCCAAGTCATGCCCAACTCTTATCGAGTCATGGCAGGGTTCATCTGTCGGTGTGTCGATGTCAATGTGACGCCCAACCTGGACCTTTTTCATTATTTCTTCAAAGTTTCTCCCCATCAAACCCATGGTTACCTGGCTCTGAGTGCCCGTACGGGCAGAGTTTTGTTCAAGGGGAACCTTTCCTCGATTAACGGTTGGAAATACCGGTTCTTCTTTCTTTTTGTGCTAGACGACTTAATCTCGAAGTGGTGGAATGCTTATCCACCCAAAACTGCGGAACTGTTCGTCTCTAAAGAGTTTAGGGAGAAGATTGTCGCTTTGGAGAGGGGCGGCACATCCATGATTTTGGAATACCTTACCCCCGATTGGTTGATCAAATCTGGGATAGGTACCGCCCGAGTTCCTGAAGGTCTTGACTAAAACCTAAGTACCATGGCCCGTGCGGTCCTTCTCGTGCGGGAAACTTGCATGCATTTGCACGTTTTACACACGTTGTGATCGCTTGGTACTAATATCTTTGTTTTTCTTTTTCAACTCCTAACCCCTTAGCACCGAACATGGATGACTCTTGCTTGGCCAAAATTGGTGGTGCCGGAAAACGGAAGAGGAAGGGCAAACAGCCTGTTCTGTCCCAGATTTCTGATTTGACCCAACCGGCCGTTCAAAACACGGTTCAGGTGAAACTCATCCGATTGAGCATTTGTACCAAGATCAGGCGATGATGGTGGACCCATCGTTTGAGCCCACACAACCCGCTCTTATCTTTGCCGAGCATGTGGATTCAGTGATGGGGGCGAATACTGAGGCCGAGAAGGCTTTCATCTCTAAGCGTTTGGAGCGGAACACCCCTGCGGACCCCATTCATGATGTCCTGGAACATGGGGGGTGTTCGGCGAGCCAGGTCTGGGGCGCTTCCGACTTCATTAATGAATTTGTTCTTCCGCCCTTGTCCGTTGAGGATGTTGAGCAGGGACTTTCGTTGGCGGCCTTAAAGGTATTTTAATTTCTCATTTGTTCCCTGCTCACTTCCCCGGCGTTCCAGGGTACTAATCCGCTTCTGCGCAGGTCAGTCTGTATGGGATGCAACTTCGGAGCGCCCGTAAGGCGAGAGAGCAACATCTCTACGATGCACGAACCACAACAGAGCAGACTACGACCGAAGTCATCCAACTGGCCGACCAGGAAAGGAAGAAGCTTGAACAGGAGCTGGGCCAGCTCCAGGTGGATATTTCTGCAGCTTAGGCCAAGGTGGCGGCTGGTGAGGCTGTTCAGATCACTTTTTAAGAAAGCGAGTCTCAGATCCCAAATGGCCCGCAGGAAGTGAGTGTGGACTTATCAGTCGTACATGCTGCGTACCGATCCTCTAAAGATTTCACCAAGTCCACCGATGAGTACGCCTAGGATCACCTTTTCTGAATCATTCGGGCAGTTCCTAAAGCAATTCCCCTGGCCCCATCATCGCAATAAGGGCATTGAGTTGGCTGATAAGACCATGATCGCCAAGATGTGGGCCAACTATGTGGCTAGGCAAACTTACAACACTAGGTGCCAGCATATCCTGTGGGCCATGGTGCCGGTTATGCAACAATTGGTGGGAAAACCGGTTGTCATGCGTGATTACTCCGATAATGGCATCCTCCTGGGCCAGGTTCGAAAATACGAGCGAGATTTGAAGTGGGCCGCCGATCACGGAGCTGCTCTGGAGCGGGAACCCTTGACTGAATCGGAAGATGAAGATGAGAATGATGTCGAGGAAGAGGATGCCGATCAGTACAAATGGGTTGTAGTGGTTTTTTCCCCTTTATAATTACAAAATTGTTTTTGCTGTAAATCCCGATCAGTAGCGCCGAAGAGTAAAGGTGGCTTTTTGCTTATCTATCCAACTTTCGTTTACGCAATGCCCTTTTTTCCCTCTTGGCTTTATCATTCATAAGGAATTCATCCCATGTCCGGTCCTGAAAGGTCTTCAGGACTTCAGTATTTGTTCAAAACATTCCCTTGTTCGATTTTTATAGGGGTAATTGGACTTAGTCGTTTCGCTAGAAATATTATCTCGCTCGAGAGTTCCGGGGAAATTAGGACTTAGCCATTTTGCTAGCAATGATATCTCGTTCGCGAATTCTGGGGAAATTAGGACTTAGCCATTTTTGTGTATCCAAGATCCTGACAAGTGTTCCCAAGATTTGGGTCTTAGCCCCTCCGCTGAAACCCCATGTCCTGTCCAGGCTTCTTAGAGCTTTTAACACTTAGTCTTTTTTCTGGAGACATATCTTCCCCGTTCGAGCTATAGTAGAGGGTAGGCCTCAGTTGTTAGTTAGGAATATCTTCCATGTTCGAGCCCCTTCATGAATCTAAGACTTAGCTGTTTTGCTGGCCTCATTTTTCGGGATACGCCGTTCAGCATTTTGACATTTGGTAATTTCCTGCCTCGTTTTGTAAGAACCATTCAACATTTGGACCAATCATGAATGTCCCAGGTGATTGCACTACCGTTCAGCAACTAGGGCCTTAAGTGTCCTTGATTCTATTACCGCGATCTCCTGCCACATGTCTCCTATGGATTTGCCTCAGGAGCGGTGGCTTCTATATATACGAGAGATGGCATTCCTCCCTCATATTCTGTCTCCTTTGGTAGTAGAACTTTTGCAGATTTTCTCTCCCTAGGTACCTCATTAACTCTTTCTCCTTGGGTTCATGTCCTAATCTAACTCGCTCGTTTCTTTGCAAAAAGAGGAGATGGTCTATATCCGGCAATCAATGGGGAAGGTCGGGTCGAACGGCCAGTAATAGCGTATTATAATTATTATTAGTATTGAGGACTCATGTGTAATTATTTCTCTTGTTTAATATAAATACATCACTAGGGCTACCACAACGGCAAGCCATTATTCTCCACTTTTATTATTTCACATGGTATCAGACGCACGGGTTCCCTAACCCTAATTTATTATGTCGCATCAGCCTTCAGTAACAGCGCCCGCCTCCATCCCTGCGGTGCAGCCGCCGCCTCGGCCGGAAACAACACCACCGGTCGCGACTACTATATCAACGCACTCCCCAATTCAGGAGCTGCCGTTTTCTTCGTGACTACCTCCAAATTCCTACAATTTGTTCCACATGCCGAAGCCGTTTACGTGGATCCAACTCTCACCATGGTGTCGCCTCCCCCAGTGCAGACGCCTTCTGCGTCGCCGATTCATGCTCCATCCCCAGTCTGCCAGCCTTCGTCGGGCCGACCTGGTCTGGCCATCTGCCGCATCCCATGCTGGATCCGCCACCTCTTTTCCGTACGACCTCAGCCTCGGCGCTTTCCAGCCCCCTAGCGTAACTATTCTCTCGATTGTCGTTCTCGACACCCAATGTTACCAAGATTGTTACTACTCGGCTAGCCACGGTTGAAGATTATCTCTCATGACGTACAGAATTTGAATCTTTTTTGGTGTCTCACGGCTTGTTAGGAATTTTGGATGGTTCCCTTTCGGTTCCACCTACTCTCATTCGGGATCAACCCAATCCCGAATATTCCTATTGGTTACATATTGATCAAACCGTTCGCTCATGGCTATTTGCTACTCTCTCCCGGGACATCTTGGTTGAGGTTCGTGATCTACATTTTTCTGCTCCTATTTGGGAGCGATTGGAGACTCGGTTTATGGCCGAAAGCATTGCACGTGCCATGGAGCTCAAACGGGCCTTGAGTAGTCTCAAGAAGAATGACTCTCAAAGCATGGATGAATATTTACGAGACATTAAAAATCTGGCCGACACCCTTAATTCCATCAATTTGCCGGTGACCAATCGTGAACTCTTGTTTGCCACCGTTCAAGGTCTAGGTCCGGAATATGAATCTCTCATCACATCAATTACCTTGTTTCTCGATAACTTCACTGTGGACAACTTGTGCCCCCAACTGATGGCTGTGGAGCAGCGGGCTCTCTTTCTTCGTACACAAAATTCCCATCCAGGACATCAAGCCTTTGGAGTGGCAGATCAGGCAGCAGCTGCTGTCCAGCGCCTTGCTGGTCGCGGGGGTGATCATGGCGGTCGCGACAATGGTGGCCACGGCTATCGCGACGGAAGGCAACGGGGGCACCGTGGCAGGGGGCACGGGTATGGCGGCCAGAATTACGATGGTCAACAGTATGCCGGATAGCATGTTCGAGGTCCTCCGGTGCTGGGGTATGTTGCGGCTCCACCAGTCCCAAGTTGGCAGATGCTTCCTCCAAATTATGCTCCACGTGGACCGCAGGCTCCTGGATTTCAAGGTACGGTTTTAAGTAATACTTGTCGTGTTATGGCCAATATAAATGCTTTATCTGCTTGTGTTACTCACCCTAACTTTGTAGATTTTCCATCAGTTGAAATTTCTTTTCAGTCCCCCCCACCACCCATAGTGTGTCAGATTTGCTTTTCTCCTGGTCATTCTGCTTTGGCATGTTCTCGTTTTGTCAATCCATCTGCTCCAGCTTTGGCGGCTCTTCCCACGGGCGAATCAAATGAATCTGTATGGTACCCCAATTCTAGGGCTTCGGCTCATATGACTCCGTCAGAAGGTATTTTATTAAATAAAACTATTTATCGTGGATCACATTTTGTTCAGGTTGCTAATGGCAATGATCTCCAAGTTTCAAATATTGACAAAATTAATTTAGTTACTTCTGGCCGTCCACTCACTTTAAACAGAGTTTATCATGTTCCACAGCTTAAATATAATTTATTATCTATTCAACGTTTGTGTGCGGACAATGATTGCTCCGTCATTTTTAATAAAAATTCTTTTTTTGTTAAGGACAACCACACGGGGGCCATCCTACTTCAAGCCACCAATAAAGATTGTGTCTATCCCTTTACAGCTATCCATCAACCTGCCCCATCCCTTGCCTTCAGGACATCGCTTGTACTAGGCCCTATTTGGCATAAAAGACTTGGTCACTGTGGGGATCGCATTTTACTTATTCTTAGGAAAAATAATTTCATTATTAGTTCTAGTTTACTTTCTCATGATTATGTTTCATGTAAGCAAGTCCCATCGTCTACATTTTACTGATGTTATTCATGATTTTACTACTCCTTTAATTTACAATTAATACATTATGATGTTTGACAATCACCTGTGTTATCTAACTTAGGTTTTAAATATTATGTTTCTTTCATTGATGATTTTTCTAGATTCACATGGGTCTATCCCATGCATAGGAAATCTGAAGTTTTTATTCATTTTTGCAATTTTCAAAAATTAGTTGAAAATTTGTTTAATTGTAAAATTAAATGTTTTCAGAGTGATGGCGGGGGTGAGTTTGTCAACAATCATTTTCAGCAACATTTTCTTAACTGTGGGATTCTTTTTAGAAAATCTTGTCCGGATACACCTGCTCAAAATGGCGTGGCAGAAAGAAAACAACGTCATTTACTTGAACTAGCCATAACTATGCTTATTGATGTCAATCTACCCAATTCTTTTTGGGTTGATGGGTTGTATACAGCTACTTTTGTTATCAATCGGCTGCCCACTCCCATTCTGAGTAATCGGTCTCCATTCGAGATGTTATTTCATAAACCTCCTGATTATAGTTTTTACGTGTTTTTGGTTGCGCTTGTTTTCCAAATATTGTAGCTTCCTCTTCTAATAAACTTTCCCCATGTTCCATTCTTTGTGTTTTTCTGGGTTATGCTCCGGGGTACAAGGGTTATCGTTGCCTTGATCCCCGAACTGGGCGTGTTTACATTAGCCGAGATGTTATTTTTAACAAATCCAGTTTTCCCTACACCACCTTGACACCTTTCCTCAACACATCCAACTCACTCCTACAGCCCTGGCCCATCACCCGCACCGGAACCTTCCCACTTACCTACGATGACTTCCCCCGAACAATCCCCAACCTCCACTCCTCAACCCAACTTCACTACACCTACACCTATTCCCAGCCCTCATGGCCAGCCCGTTTCCAGTCCGCCTGTGTTCAGTCCGACCTCGTCCGGTCTTCCCTCTTGTCCGACCCATAGCTTGCCCGACCGCCTCCTCCCTAGTTCCAGTTCATCCACTTCCACGACCAGTTATGTACTCTCCAGCCCTTCGGTTACCCCACCTAGTTCCCCACAACTGATGGCTCCAAATATTCACCCCATGCGTACGAGAGCTAAAGATGGAATTTTTAAACCCAAAACAATTTTTAATTTAAATGCTTTAGCTCTCCCGCATGATCCTACTTGTTTTTTTCAAGCTAATAAATCTTTAGTGTGGTGGGCAACAATGGCCGAAGAATTTAATGCTTTAATTGCTAATAAAACTTGGGATTTAGTGCCCAGCGACAAGACAAAAAATGTGGTTGAGTGTAAATGGGTTGACTGACGGGTCTATTGAGCGCCATAAGGCGCGTTTGGTTGCTCAATGGTTTAACCAACAAGTTGTAGTGGATTTTTTTGAAACATTTAGTCCTGTAGTCAAACCTACTACTGTTCGTCTTGTCCTTTCAGTTGCTATTTCATTGGGGTGGACTATTCGTCAATTAGACGTGAAAAATGTCTTTCTTCATGGGCATCTTACTGAAGCGGTATATATGTGTCAGCCTCCTGGGTTTGTTCACCCTCAGTTTCCTACGCATATATGTCGTCTTCGTAAGGCTCTCTATGGTTTTAAACAAGCTCCCAGAGCATGATTCCATCGTTTTAGTGGTTTTCTTCTGTCCCTTGGTTTTACTCAGAGTCGGTCAGACTCCTCCATGTTTATTTTACGTTCTCCTTCCCAGACTCTATACATTCTCTTATATGTTGATGATATTCTTATCACTTGTAGCACGTCCTCTCTAGTCAGTCAATTCATCCATGTTTTGTCTAGTCAGTTCACCATGAAAGACCTCGGTGACATACATTTTTTCCTTGGCATTCAAGCACGCCGAATGCCTCATGGTCCTTTTCTTTCTCAGCAAAAATACACTAATGA